CTCACACTGCGTCCTCAGCTATTTTTTCAGATGTGTACTGCTCGTATCAAACTACTGCATAGATATAAATTAGTGATGCACGATGATATCGGGACAACATCGGTATCGGCCGATAAAAGCTTAAAATGAGCATCATCGGCAGATATGAATATTTCTGCCGATGAGTCTTGCCGATAGGGTGGCGTATTTCCTATGCGCACGTGACGACCGTGAACGAAGCATGAGCGCCAGCAACTTAAACTTCCAACTAGGGGTGTGCTGTGCGTCTCACGGTTTTTGATCGTGGACGATTAAAATGTCTCCACTATCTGCTTTTGAAGAAAAATCATAGTATGGTGCATTCTATCAGTTCAATTCTGGCACCTTCATCTCAACATACTGTACAACGCGACGTACATTCACATCACATCACATGTAAACGCAGAGGTAGAGTTACACTCACGGGACACCGCAATTCACAAAAGTTCATTGTTTGCATGTGCGTCAAAGTCTTGCTAGGTAAACATGTCATTCACGTGCTGATGCGCTGTTCTAACATGCGCTGTTTTCTGAGCGCGTTACACCCGACGCTCACAGGAACTAAAAGCCTGTCACAGCGCCTGCATACTGGACTAATCTTTCGAGTCTTATTGCGCTAATACTGTCAAATACACACAAGGTTTACATAAACAAAGTTGGTTATGTCTAAAGTGAAAGCAAACAGAGAAAATCTGCTTGTCAAATGCGTGTATATTAGACGCGTCGCGTTACTCGCGTGCAGTTCTTAAAGAGACAGTAATAATATTCTGCCGCTTGTCTTTAAAGAGATACTGCACCCAGAAATAAAAATTCTGTCTATCTAATGTTGTTTCAAACCTGGATTCATTTCTTTCTTGTGCTTAAACATACTATGGAAGTCACTGAAGTACAGCAACTGTTTGGTTAGCCACATTCTTCCAAATAACTTTTATAATTTCAACAGAAGAAAGAAACTTGAGAGAGTAAATGACAATTTAAATTTTTGGGACAACTATCCCGTTAATGTTAATAAAACAACAAAACACAGAGGAAATCACTCACTGCTCTTGACTGAGAACATTAATAGAAGCTTTAATAAGCTTTTTTTGCACTTAAAAAAAATACAAATATATCGGTATCGGGCAAAATTAGTTTGAAAATATCGGCATATCGAATATCGGCCAAAATCCTATATCGTGCATCCCTAATATAAATGGTATTGCCTCATTCCATATTGTTAAAAAAAAAATACATTGATATATCGTACAAACTTAATATACCACCCAGCCCTAAAAGTTATACATGAATTTTAAACAATATCCGTTCTTGTCCAAGGACAACTTTGATGAACTTTTTTGATCCACTTCAAATGTTAACTACTTTAGTTTAGTACCTTAAGACCTCTCAAAAGTTATAAATCAATTCACTCATAAAACATCTGTAAACATTGAGTAATCTGGAAAATAAAAAGTGTCTGGAATTTACAAACCCAAGAGTTGAGATTAGGCACCTGAATCAACATTTAATGCTTAACTAGGCCTAGTTATTTTTGCTGCTATTCCTGTGGTCGGGTTAAAGGGGCTTTGAGGTGCAGCATTAGGAACCATAACTTAGGCTACCTCATCACTATGAACCGTTTATCACTTTTTAAAATTTAATACACATATGACGCTATACTTTGTGTTACATTACCTTGGCAGCAAATGACAAGAAAAAACATGAATTAACACTGCTGTGAGAGTTTTTCTCATACAACAGCGATGGCAAATTTTAAATCGTTCCCTTTTTCTCTATGCTGTAATCAATCTATTGATAATTGTTCCTCTTTTCAAAAGTCGTCAAACGCGATCAGATTTTCTCTTTTGCTATTGGAGCAAATGAAAATACAAAAATTATATTTGCAGTCGTCTCCCGTTCATCGCTAAAGAAGTTTACCCAACAATGACGACTTCTGCTTCTGAGAACCCCAGAAATGTGAAAAGGGTCATTTTATTATCATTAGAAAGTAATGTGTGTAATCATACCTGGGGCCTCTGCTTGTGCTGTGACTGGCTCTGTGTCTGACCCTGCGTCTGCTCCCAGTTGCCCCGGGCCCGGCTTCCGCCCACTGAAGTCATCATTTACAGTATATACAAATAACAGTATTTACAATGGAATAACGCCTTTAAAAGAGAAACAGATTGAAGATGTTATTAACAGCTCGCTAAAAATTAAAACATCACATGGTCCAAGCAAACCATCTTAACATAAAACATGGATGCAAACAAACATGATACACCTTGTGTAGCCATTTTGATTAGCCAAAACTGGAAGTAAACAACGTCACATGCCTGACCTGATGCTCTACCCATAAAACGACGGCACAACTTTCTCAAAACACCGACACAAATTCAATTCTGGGAATTTCGTATTGCGCAATTATTACACGTGAAAACAAAACGGTATATACACAAGTCAAGCAGCAACAGGTCAACTATGAACGCGCTTCCGGTGCTTAACATCCTCATTTTATCGATAGTTTAAAACCACGAGAGAGAGGAGGGGGGGAGAGAATCCACACCGCCAGATATTTCGACAAAATAACACCAAAAGCAATCCACCTGGTGCAAGTTATGCAATATTACATGTATGGTTATACCAAAAAGCACAGCAGCTCTGCGCATGAGGAAATGCAGGGCATGTGGCGGCCGAAAGAAACTGCGCACTTATAACGCGCACAGAATCAACCAGCGTGACAGAAACACGCGGGACCCGCCGCGGGAAATCAGACGGACGACGTGCGTGAACGGACAAAGCTCGAGAAAAAAAACTTAACGGCCTTTAAACAGAGCGAGGATATATCAGTCACACTGAGAGTATGTTGGAGACGTGAAAATCACACAGCCCATGGGTAACTTAAAGGTGAAGGCACATTGTCAACATCAAAGATGTGAAGGATTTCATTTTTTTTTCCACAATATACCATATAGTACATAAAAAAAATCCCAAACATAATTTGCTAGATATAACATGGAAATTGCTTAAGAATAGAAGCACTTAAAAGCCATTTGTTTCCATTCAAAGGCGCATAAAATCGCCTTGTGCATTAAAAAAAAGTAACGTTAGCCAATCAAGCTGTACAATAGGCATCCAACAGGTAAGTTAACCTACATTACCCGTGGTGCTTAGATCGACATCCTGGGAATCCTATATTGACTTACCGGTCAAGGAGTAAGCAAATTGTAATCTATTAAACTTAGTTAATAAAAAAAAAAATCTTCAGAGATGAGGGGCTATGATTGGTCCAGGCGATGGGCCTTGGAAAAGCAACTCGGTATAAACTCAAACAAGCAGATCCAACGATCCTATATGAACACACATACACACGGTTTTAATAGTCTTAAAGGGTTATTGGTGCGTCAAATAATAAATACAAGCTCTGCAAAATGGGTGGCTTCCGCTCTGACCGCGTATCGTATAATAACCTCATGGCCGGTTTTCGGGCATTATGCTGCCTGCTGCCCAAACATAAACTTTGCCGATGGCTATTCAAACTATTTAGTTTATCAACGTAAATGAGAGACTGGGCAAATCGTCCCCTAGATTAATCGACACGATAGTAATTTGCGTTTGTTTTAACTGGAAGGCACACGCCCCCCGGGGTGAGGCGCACTCTCGTCAGTTCACATGTGCACTCGACACCGAGGCTTCACCGAGGCCTACAGGCCCCAAAATGATAAAAAAAAAATGAACAGGCGAGGTACTAACCAAAGACCAGGCTGGACGTCAGAAATGTGAAGATAACGCCGACCGAAGGAGGCTTTAATATCGACCTCCTAATCAGGCGGAAAAAAACACGAACTCTTTCGCGTCCTAAATCGATTCCCCAATGCCGACAACAAGGCCGAACCGACTCGCGCAGACAATAAGCGAAAGACTCAAAATTTACCTGTTTCTCTTCCACACTGACACCCGGATCACCGCGTCACGTGGTTTATCACAGCCACTGCGGCTTCACTCGCAGAGCCCAACCACGTGACGACTACGTACGAATGCATATATAACAACTTAAACACAATTATGTAATATTTAATTTGTTACCCTTTAGTTGATGTTGGTTATCTTATTATGTGTCTTTGACTCTATATCACAAATACATGTAGGCCTATGGCATACAAATTCTTGTATTTACTTACAGTTTCCCCCAGTTTTACAGAAGGCTTAAGCATAAGTCCCAACTGTTTTAACCTGAAGCAGCTTATATGTCAATGCCATTGTTTTTATTATAAAAGCTACTTAAATGACTTAATTTAACTAAGGCTTAATCCTGGCTTAATCTGTGAAACCAGGCCATAATGTGTTTAAAACTAGCTAGGCCTACTTGTAAGTTAACACTAGGTTACATTTAGATACATGGTTTAGTAACTAATGCTTTTTAAAATGGGATATCAAACGGTAGCCTACTGTATTAGAATGTGCCCTAAAACTATTTACCTATGCGATAAAGTATTTGTACATGCAAGTGTTTGTTGTACATTTAACGTGTTTAGTTGTACATCTCTCAATCATCTTTGTATTGCATTGCATTGCATTATTGACCCCTTCAAATAAAACTACAGAGATTTGATCATAAAACTGTGTATTTATAGTAGCTTTACAGGGTTAACGAGTTTTGTTTATTTTTAGCTTCATTTCGTATTTCATTTGAAAGACAATGACATTTGTTTCAGTGTTACCGTAGTTCAGTCCCATCAGTAGATGTCGCTAGTGGTCCGCGCTGAATGTTTACATGCTCCAGAAAAGTGCAGACACCCTCTTATTAACGGGCTGCTTCAGTAATTTGAGCCAACAAAAATATTAATACAATTAGTAATTACTACCAGTGGATGAAAGAATGTCACTGTATGTTTTAAAAATTAATTTCCATTTACAATACTAAAATTCTCTTCAAGTAGCCTACTAAACAAAATGGAGTCGCTACACTTTTATAAAAGTAAAAAGTAACACACATAGTCTTACACATATTGCAAGCAGTCTTAAATACGTTTTATTTATTAGCCCTTAAGATAAATACATGTACCAGCTAAATACAATACCAGAGAAATGTGCATAGTACAACAATTCCATCTACAATAACACAATTTTTCACATTTAATGAGAGATGGATGGAAGAGAGTCTATCACTGAATACAGTAACAAAAAAAATAGTTTTTCAGAACACAATGCAATTACAGTTCCCAATGGGAAAAGAGCTAAAGACTATGCAAGGTAGTTAAATTCAGAACTGTATATCAGTATATAGTATGCACAGGTACATAAGTAGCACAGAAATATTGTTTGTGTTTTTATTATATATGGGATAAATTTTGGCTTCATCAGATTACTCAAATTGGCTGTCTGTAACAATATTTATACAATGGCTACACTATCAGATTGTAACATGATGGAACAGACACAGTGGCAGATCATTAGGAAATATGAATTTCACCACTTATAAGATCTTCTACAATTAATATAGTTGCTTGAGGCATGAAAATGTAGTGTATGATCTACAAATCCAGTATACATGTGACATTACAATTAAAGCGAGACAGAACAGTCCTATATACAAAGTATCGTATCACTTATTTACAAAATAAGTAGATGTGTGCTAAACTGATGGATGTTGCATAAAGTTTGGGAGAGGGAATGCTTGTTGCTATTTCCACAATGTGTCTCTCACTCACTGTCTCCCTCTCTTCCATCAGTAATCTTCATCTTTTCCTCCTGTTGTTTAAGACTTGATCTCGACCACTTTGATGAATGGCAGCGACCGGTTTCCTGGGCTTGTTGGCGTCAGAGGTTTGCTATAATACAAAATGGTAAATACTTTTTAGAAGTAAAACTAAGAAGTGTGTGTGTGGGGGGGGGGAATACATTTTGAAACATACAAAATGTATGTTTCAAAAACATACATTTTGAAATGTATGTTTTTTTTTCTATTACACGTTGGACAACTATTGGTACCCCTAGAAGTTCTTATGAGTAAAATATATTTAAGGTATATTCATTTACAGTTTTTACTGTAATTAATTTACCCAGACATGATTTCCTGTTTCAGGGCGATAATTGAGAAGTTCCAATCATCAGGAAATGTAACGAATCTGCCTGGAAGAGGACGTGTGTCTATATTGTCTTAATGTATGGCGAGAAGGATAGTTTGAGTGGCCAAAGACTTTCCAAGGATCAGAGCTGGAGAATTGCAGAAATGAGTTGAGTCTTTGGGTCAGAAAGCCTAATAAAAATATCAGTCAGCACCACAAGGGTTTAAAGAAAAATCCTCTTGACAGCATCTGCTAAAAATCATATAATGGGCCATGGTTGGGTCTTCTATCAGGACAATGATTCAAAACAAACATCAAAATCCACTCAAAAATGGGTCACAGAGCATGGAAGTAAGGTTCTGCCATGACCATCCCAATCCCCTGACCTGAAAAAAGAAAACTGAAGAGGAGAAGCACCAACATGGAACTGGGATTTTGAAGGATCTGGAGAGATTCTGTATGGATGAATAATGTCAGGTGTTCTCCAAACTCATCAGGCATTATAGAAGAAAACTCAGAGCTGTTATCTTGGCAAAAAAGTATTGAATAAAAGGGTGCCATTATTTGTGGCCAATGTGTATTATAGAAAACATTTCATAATGAGATTTCCCTCCCATTTCCAATTGCTGTAAAGTAGATTGAAATCTATGATTGAATCTAATACACACACACATATATATATACACTTTTTTTCTTTACATGTGTACATTATAAGAAAGAAATACCTGTAGACAACCTTGGACCCCATGTCTGAGTTATATGGTTTAGGCACTTGACTGCCCGTATAAAACTCCATCCGGTCATGCATCTCTGTATTCTGTAGGTCACATTTGATGTTACGGTCACACAGTGAAAGGCTGGGAAAAAAATAAAGAGGTTCTCTGAAAGAACACAGACACTGACCTCAGCTTCAAGGAAAGACACCCTCTCTTTAAGGTCGGCGATCAGTCGGTCTCTTTGCTCCATTACGGTTCGTGAATTTTGCACCTGTTAACGTACAGTATGGACATATAAATAAACTAATGCAAGCACTAATCATGCTCAAACTGATATTAAATGTATTCAAGGATGTAATAAATTAATCAGGAGTCATTATCGAAATAAAGTTAGCATAATCTACAGAGATTAAGTGGAGCTGGATTTATAAAGCATAATGCTTTTCTTGCTTTTATTTCATTGTTCATGGGCGAAGCTTTTATGCGTAACATGAGATCTAAAGTGCACGAGGCTGATCAGCAGGGAAATGACGGCATCTTTTATTTATGACTGAGGTTGAGTTTCACTTCTGATCTGAGCAAACACAACCTGTTTGTATCACCAAAAAAGGATCTTCCTCTTTTTTTTCATCTGGTCCTCTCTTCTTCCTTTTTTGAACTTTATTAGCATATTGCTTTAAAAGTCAATATGACTACTATTTTTACAGTATATATATATATAGTATACACACACAGGGTTTCTGCAGGTTTTATGAAGGTAAATTTAAGACAAATTAAAGAAAATTTAAGGAATAAATTGAAGGGGAAATATGACAATGTGTTCTCTAAATATAAATGTCTATAGGGAGAAACAACACTTTAGAGTTTGAAAATATAACTTTCAACATATATCCATTACTTTTTAATTCATTTTACAAATTAAAAGCACCTTAAATCACTTCCAGCCAATTAAATATTGAAATAACTCTTATTGTACTTTGATCATAATGCAAAAAAGTGGTTCTTTCTCAGAATTGTAGTCTTGGTTTCCAGTGCAGTTGTCTAAAGATTATTAAATCAAGATACATTAACTTGAGAGGCAAATGTAAATATAGTCCTGAAAAATGTAAGTGTGTTTATGATTAAAACAAGAACAAATATCTGTCAATGAGTTCCCTTTGAATTAAGTTGATTTTTCTGAGCCCATTGGCAAATATGTGTATATTTGACATACAAAGATATTTGTTCTTGTTTTAATCATAAACACACTTAATTTTGTTAAAATTTTCAAGATTATATTTACATTTGCATCTCAAGTAAATGTATCAAAGATGTTTAGATATTTGTATTGGAAAACAGGACACAGATTTTCTTTTTTGCAGTGCATGCAACATTTCATGCCATGACTTCATGAATTTAACACTTTCTGCTCTGATGTAAGAACTTTTTAAGGCCTTCATTTGTGTAAGGGTGAATTAAGACTTTTTAAGACCCGCAAAAACCCTGATATAAAAATCCAGTCCTCCCCCAAAATGTTCTTTCAATGAATATCCCGTTTCACTTCAAAATACATCAATTACATAAATAAAATGGTTTGCAAATGCCATTTAATGATTTGTCTATGTCTGTGATTGGGTGTTTCTCCAAATATCCTATGCACAGGAATTACCTGTTCAATCATGTTTCTGATTTTCCGTTGTTGACTTTTGAGCATGTCATCCAAGTTATGGTTTTTAGTTTTCAGAGTTGCCAGCTCCTTTTTCAGTTGTTCAGACCTGCAGTGCAGAAAACCTGTATGTTTCATGTGTACACACTCATAATGACACTTTTAGTAACATGTGTGTAAGAAAGAAACAACTGCATTAAAAACACAGAGGGTGAGTCTACTTTCAAAGCACAAGAATGAGTCATAGCAAGTCGAATTCCATGTGAGAGGTGTGACATTGAAGGATGGTTTCTATGGCAGCACAATGCAACTAACAGAGTTCTAATTAGCCCAATCTATTGCTTACTAAATTGCAGGTGGAAAATATTGAACGTAGCCAAGGAAACAGTTAAACGTGAGAACAACGCATTATGTATAGAAGAACAGCAGCCATTTGGGTCGCCAAAATAAAAGGGCTCACCTGTCCTCACTATCCATTTTCTTCAGTCCTCGCAGTTTCTCGAGTTCAGCCTCACTAGCAGCCAATTTTTCTCGTAGTGTGGCATTTTCCAGCTCCAAACCACCCATACGCTTCTGCATCTCTTCCACCTTTTTGCTCTGTTCCTCTGCCTTGGTTTCTGCTTTCTGCATGTGAGAGTTATAATCCTCTAGAAATCCCTGCTGATATTCAATGTTTTCTGCCTAATGTAGGTTTAAAAAAGAAAAGGTGCTTAGTTTAGGAAAGGCGAACCACATTATATCACAGTTATATTAATTTTCCTGGCATTTTTTTATTATATTTCTGACCTGTAGTCTCTCTTTCTCCTGCTGGTGTCTCTTCTCCATCTCTTGCAGACGAGTGTACATATGTTTGGTGACTTCTTTTAAGGCTATGCAGTTATCATCCTCCTGACCCTGTGCAAACATAAGAAATCATGTTAAATTTGCTCATATATTTAATATATTCATTTTGTATTGTCAACCTTTAAAAAAGTACCATGCTATTACAGTCCAATACAGGTGAAACTCGAAAAATTTGAATATTGTGCAAAATTTCATTTATTTCAGTAATTCAACTTAAAAGGTGAAACTAATATATAGACTCATTACATGCAAAGTGAGATATTTCAAGCCTTTATTTGTTATAATTTTGATGATTATGGATTACAGCTTATGAAAATCTTTTCACAATATTCTAATTTTGAATTTGGGGTTTTCATAAGCTGTAAGCCATAATCATCACAATTATAACAAATAAAGGCTTAAAATATCTCACTTTGCATGTAATGAGTCTATATAATATATTAGTTTCACCTTTTAAGTTGAATTACTGAAATAAATGAAATTTTGCACCATATTCCATAAGTTTCACCCGTATACCAGGGATAAAGCATGGTAATATGTATTTTTGTGTACCTTAAATTTCGTAGTACCTTAAAAAATCCATAATATATAAATATAGTGATCAAATAGTACAATAGTATATGATAAAAAGTGTAGCATCATTTGCAGCTGCACTTAGTTTCATATTTGGTATAGTCTTTTAGTATATTATTTATATGCTTAAAGGGATAGTTCGGCCAAAAATGATATTTAACACATGCATTACTCACCCTCAAGCCGTTCGAGATGCATATGTCAATCTTGTTTCAGACGAACACATTTTCAGTTATTTTAGAAAATGTCTTAGACCCTTCAGTGGATATAATGTGAAGCAATGGGGTCCACCTCCTTCAAGTCCCAAAATGTGCATACATCCTTCACAAAAGTAATCCATCCGGGTCCAGGGGGATAAACGAAGACCTTCTGAGGGTAATCCGTGCGGTTTTGTCGTAAAAATATACATATTTAAAACTTTATAAATGAAAATATCTGACTTCCGGCAACGATCGACGCGCGTTCACGGGTGATGGAAGTCGGCGTACGAGGTATGACGTAGCGTAGGAACCGTCGTGACGTAGAACGAACGCGCCTGCGCAGCCAGAGAGCAGAGCAAAACAAAACTACACTCAGTTCACCCGTGAACGCGCGTCGATCGTTGCCGGAAGTCAGATATTTTCATTTATAAAGTTTTAAATATGTATATTTTTACGACAAAACCGCACGGATTACCCTCAGAAGGCCTTCGTTTATCCCCCTGGACCCGGATGGATTACTTTTGTGAAGGATGTATGCACATTTTGGGACTTGAAGGAGGTGGTCCCCATTGCTTCACATTATATCCACTGAAGGGTCTAAGACATTTTCTAAAATAACTGAAAATGTGTTCGTCTGAAACAAGATTGACATATGCATCTCGAACGGCTTGAGGGTGAGTAATGCATGTGTTAAATATCATTGTTGGCCGAACTATCCCTTTAATATATTATTAAGATAATAAGAATAAATAGTGCAAAATATGCCCTTTTACAAAGTCTTGATTTAGTTTTTTGGGGTCTACTAGAATAGGTTTTCATGCTTGAATTAAAAAAAGATATTTTTCATATATTTTACATTGCAGGAACTCTCTTCCCAGTCTGTGTTGCATCCCAAATGGCGCACTATACACTATGCACGTATACAGTATCTACTCAACCATGTAGTGTATTTTGTCATTCAACATCGGAGTCTGATGCCCCTCTTCTTCCAATACGTAATTAAATCTGCCACAGTTGAGTGCATGAAGTGTCCAACATTCCACGCTTGTTTTTTTTTCGGTTAATAAAGTACATCATCCGAGTATTTAAAGTGCACTTTTTCTATTTGGCATTTTCAGTGTGAACACACTACTCACACTATTTATACTACAAAACGTCATAGAATAGTGCACAAGTATGCGAATTGGCCATATGTTGTGATTGGTCAACTGCTTTGAGAAGTTTCAACACTACTGATACAACTCAACCATGCCTCAACCTGTTTATTTGTGTATGCCTTGGCTATGTGAGTAAAGGTACCATTGACGTGGAGACATATATTGGGATTGTACAGAGATCTATACTGCCATCTTTCCTGGGAAGTCCATAGTTATTAGGGCAAGGCAATGCCAGGCCTCATTCTGCACTTGCTACAGCAGATTTTTCATACACAGTCTACACCTGCAGTCCAGATCTGTTTCCTATTGATAATTTATGACCCATCATAAAAAGGAGAATCAGACAACGATAATAAGTGCTTATACAGACTGTTGAGCAGCTGTCTTGTATCAGGCGAGACTGGGCAAAAATTCCACTTGAAAAAAATGCAGTAAATGGTATCCTCAATTCCCAAATGATTAAAAGTGTAGTTAAAAGGAAAGGGGATGTGACATAGGTGTAAACATGCCTCTGTCCCAACTTTTTTGGAGTGTGTTCCAGCCATCAAAAATCTACATTTGTTTATATATACAAAACACAATGAAGTTGTTCAGTGAAAACATTGGAAATCTTTTCTTTTTTGTTGTTTAAATAAAGGTTAAAGAGAATTAACGAATAACAGATTCTTGATTTTATCAAATGTGCCAACTTTGCTGTGAAATGGGGAATATTATGAAGTGTACGTTCCCGGAAGAAACCTCAAGACTGCAATCCAGGCGTTTCAGGGAGTTTAGATGCAGTGCTTACTGATGTATACTTTGTGCTTTGTAACTTTGCAGACCTTTTTCATGCTCAATCAGCAACATAACACACTAAAGAAATATGGAATTTTATGGGAATATTATTATATGGAAGCATAATGGGTCCTCTTTAAATAAAATCAGTAAAAATATCCTCTGAGTCTGTGCGCATGGTGTGTGTGGATATTAGAACTTACATAGGATATTATTTTAGAATGTTCTTTATACTTAATTCTTTTAATTCTTTCTCTACCTTGTAGAAAAAAACAATTAATAATAATAATAATAATAATAATAAGTGTTAATTAGTTTTATAAGTATATATTTTATGATAATAATATTATTATTATCATAAATAAAATAAGGAAAAAATATAGTCTGTGCATGGGAGGCGCTGTAGGTGTGTAGAAAAGGCAGAATGACAGGTTGTTTACTGAGCAGCCAGAAGTTTAGCAATTGCTGCTCCCAAAGGCATCATGTCAAGGGTGTGACTTTTCACAGGCAGAAGCAAAAAGTTAATGTGTGTACGCTCCCAAATCTCAGAACTTCACAGCACATCAACATGAAAACAATTATGAACCAAGATGTGGTAATGTTTGTTTTTTGGCCAAATTATTTATCCATGTACGTCATCATTATCATCACATATCCTCATTAAAAGGGCTGAACTGTATCTGTTACTTTGTCTCTTTGTGTCCATTGATGTTATTATTTGGGAGTCCGTCAAGGAGAACAGGAATCCCATTTTCAAACAGGGAGGTTATTCAATTTAGTTCAAAAGTTTTTAGGTACTCGAGACTGAAGGATAAATACCCTTAATGGAGGGAAGGGGCTATTTCTTTACCCACAATACAGCATTCAATTCTGTCCAAAACCACTGAAATGTGATGCACAGAGTGGACTGAATGTTTTCTTTCTCTTTCCATGGGAGTGTCTCTGTTTGTTTGCTTTTGTAAGTAGCCTATACAATTTTGCTGTATAGGTGTGCATTTATAATGGTGCAAATGAATAATCTTTGTATATGACAAATAGTTTACCTGACTTTTTGAGTGAGATCCATTCAAAAACCCATTGGAGCCATTGGCTTTGCTAACAAGCAAGTCGACTTTAAAGCCATTAGATGGAATCTAGGGCACAAAACAGATTATTTTACAAATGAGACCACTTAGCAAAGTAATTTGAAGAAATCTGCAAAGCATTTCAAAGCAGATGGGAAAAAACACCAGCAATACACAGTGTAGCAACTGAGGAAATAATGGATACCTACTCAAAATATCTAATATAGGTGTATATATACACACTGATTTTGTGAGATCCTTCAGAACAGGTAAAAATGTCAATATTGTACCTTATTATTGTTGTTTTGTCTGGCTGCCATTTGCTCCCTCAGAGTCTTCAGGCAGTATCTCACCTGAAGACAAACGCATAGAGATTATGAACACATACACATTTTTCATGGTTAATGAGTGGGCGGTGACAACACTGACCTCTTGCACCTGTGAAACCTCATCGGTCAACATCTTGACACGTTTCTGCTTCTTGCCAACAGCTGATCCTCTGCTCCGTATTGTGTCCGGTGTGAATTATTTGATACTTCAATTACAATAGCTGGAACAGCAAACAAAGACATCTGCACATTAGTTTTGAAGTTGTCACTGTGTGCAGAGACTTGCTTTCTAAACCCAGGGAGTCTGGCCGGGTTCTGAAGGATGTCTTTGTGGAGGTGTATAATTGAGAATTAGTGTTTCTTTTTGTATGTGCACTTTTGACCCTGTGGACCTTTATTTGTTGCTTCTGAACTATCAAATGTAAATTTTGTTCTCACATTATGCATTCTTTGATGGAAATGACGATGGAATTTTTAGGAATAAAATAGCTGAAACATTTGTCTTATCATATTTAGTATGTTGTATTATAATATTATACATTTTTACATGATTTAAATAAATTACTAATTTATTGGAAATGATGCACAATAAAAGTATTTTGTTTACTGATGATATTTACCTTGATTTGTCATTGTTGTCTTTATACAACCAGTGCTGCACATATAACACACACATAGTGCTGTTCAAATATTTGGGGTCTGTAAGATTTTTTGAAAGTCGTCTCTTATGCTCACCAAAGCTGCATTTATTTGATCAGAAATACAATACATAAACAGCAATATTGTTCAATATTATTACAATATGAAATAACCATTTTCTATTTTAATATACAGTTTATTCCCATGATGCAAAACTGAATTTTCAGCATCATTACTCCTTCAGAGATCATTCTAATGTGTTCTAGAAATAAGACAATTATTATTACCAATGTTGAAAACAATTGTGCTGCTTAATATTCTTGTAGAAAAACTGATACATGTTCTTCAGGATTTTTTTTTTTTGATGAAAGTTCAAAAGAACAGCATTTATTCGTCAATTTAATGCAACCTTTGATGAATAAAATAATCAATTTCTATTGAAATTGAAATGTTTTAAGATTATTTTTAATCTTATTTCAAAAATGTAATATTTTTATGGTGGATTTAGATAGTTTAAGTTTGAAGGTCTGTGTCTGGAGACAAGGGTAAAACAATAAAATCTATAATAGATAAAGGGGTAGTTCACCCAAAAATTTTAATTTTGCCATTTCTTCTGCTGAACACAATATCTTCTTTTGTGTTCAGCTGAAGAAAGAAATTCATGCAGGTTTGGAACAACTAGAGGGTGAACTATCCCTTTAATAGGGATATAAAGTGCCTTAAACCAACACACAATTACATAACATGGTTGTTTACATATATTTATCTTAATATAGGGGGAAATGTGTGTACCTGAAAGATTTTCTATGAAGTCTTGGCGATCAAATTCTGAATGTAGTTGTGCAGTGCCAGTGACGCTTGCAATCTTTCTAAGTGGAAACAAAAAAAGAGACAAGAATTACATAAGGTGTGCAGGATAGATAATTAGAGAAAACGAGACTAGGGAGACAAGTTTCCAATAGACACTGGAACAAACGGGCAATTAGACACAATAAAAGCCCAATCATAATTATGTAATTTCCACAGAAAACAGGTATACCATTTAATTAGCATAATGGAAACATATGTATACCTTTATAAATCAAAATCCTTCTTTAAGGCTATGTGAATGAAAGACGGAGAAGTGAAAGCTCAACAAAAAAAAAGAATGCGGAAAAAAACCCATCATTACATTACATAATTCAGGAGTTAATCTAGAGATTTAAAGATGATGTAATGTTTTCCGTGATAAATCGCTTTCTGATATCCCAGCTTAATAGAGACAAGTATAAGTACGCTATAAGTAGGTGGATTTCCCTGAAAAAGTGTCAACACAATGACTCTGTGTTGCTATTAAAATGTTGATGAATTTATCGGACCATCCAAACCAGCCCGACACAGTGGCGATGGCTCAACCAATGCCGTTAGTTTTGGAGTGGGACTATCTGTCCATCCGAACACTCAGTGTTTGAAAACAGTCATTTTTGCAATTCTCAGTACAATTGCTTAGTTGGGTTGGCTTGGTTAGTTGGGGTTAAGACATTTAATATTCAGTAATATTACTGATTTGACTGCACTGACACTATCGGATGAGAACAAACATGAACTCAATTGAGCTGGATGATTAGAATATTGTTTTCTTTATAGCCGTTTCAACTTTGTTTCATGCAACGCTGACACACTGAACTGACTCGAGCTGAATAACGACACTTTTGTCTTCTAAATAACTGCTTATAGCTACATTTGAACTCATTTAATAATTCATTTAACTTTACACAGTTATTGAACTGAACTGAATCAACATTAAACTGACTCAAGCTGAAAAATGACACTTGCCTTCTATAGAGGTGCTTATAGCTGATTCTAAATTGAATATATTAGAGGAAGTTTGCATCACTGATCGTTATTTTCTTGTTTATCACCGTTGAATCTGCTTTGACACAAACTGTATTGTAATAAAGCACTAAATAAATAAAGGTGACATGACAAACCGGTTTCCCTTTCAAAATGACAAAACCCATTTATAAATCATGACAAAGGCCAAGCATTTACAATCACAAACAAAGATCTATTAACGTATTCAACCTGTGGTTTACAATCAACTTGTTCCTGCAGACAACAGAGTAACATCCGTTTCATACAGCAGAGAGGAAGTGATCACACCTAACAGAGACGTCAACATGTCCATGCAGGAGAAAAGGTTTTGATCCTCTGGGATCGGACCACAGACAGCAGAAAGAGATATTAAACAAGAGTGAGATCACTCGCACAGACTGCTGATTCACTCCACTGCAGTTACACCAGATACCAGTGAAGGGTGGAGGCACGGTGGAGAGCGTCTGTGTAAACAGATGGTGAGCCTTGTATGGAAGTCAATTATAAGAGGTGTAGGTGGCTTTACCAGGTTAGTATGAGCTGCCTCAGTGTTTAATGGTAATGGTTCTTGAAGAGATAAGAACACAGTTTGTGGATTAGCGTCTATGCCGTGATTATGCTGTCACCGCTGTCTGGATCACTGCTGTGTGTGAAATACCACAAATGTTAAACACACAACATGCAAAAACACACTACAGGACAAAGTAAATTATCTGCTGGTCAGGTTAATCAAAGCCATATCTGATAGAACTAGCTAAAACATTAAATTTGTTTTAATGAAATGCTGTTATGTTGTGATATTATACTTATATACACTTTTTCAAAAGGTTTTTGAATAAATTAATACTTTTACTCAGCAAGGATGCATTAAATTGATCAAAAGTGATGGTAAAGACAATTATGTTATAAAAGATTTATACTTTAAATAAATGCTGTTCTTTTCAATCAAAGAATATATGATTGATTAAAAAAAAAAATAATAAACATATCACAGTTTCCAAAGTTTTAACATTGATAATAAGACATGTTTATTGAGCATCAAATCAGAATATTGGAATGATGATGCTGAAAATTCAGCTTTGCATAAAATAAAAAAAAATTCAAATAGACAAGTTATTTTAAATTGTAATAACGTTTCACACGGTCTTTACTGGATTATTACTATTTGATGCATGCAGTCTTGGTGAGCATAAGAGACTTATTTATAATATACACTTTTTAAAAACTAATAATAATAATTTAAAATGACAAATGTGTCAAGTTGCCTGCTACACTTCTTTACTATACACTACATAAATAAAAATAAAAAATTTGTGTAGAAAACAAAACCTTTGTTGAAGACTTGGGCTTGTAAGTGAAAGATTGGACATTTAAACCTTACAAGTTACAAGGGGCATTTGCTTTGGGGGGGGAAAAAGTGTCTGATAAACTAAATGTTTATGGTTTATTTTTTACATTTATTAAAAATAAGTGATTTTCTTTTACTTTGCTCCCATGCAGTTTAATAGCCTACACAACACTAACCGCTTAAGCAAGTTTAGCAGTGTACCGTTCTTATCATGAATCATGGTTCATTTTCGAGTCACCTGCCTTGATTTTCTAGGACTTTCATTTCGGTCATATGTAAACCAGCCTGTCTTCTATATTTCTATGTGTACACACACGTTGCAGCACGAAGTATGCATATGAAGTGCATTTTGAGCTGAAAATCATCAGCCCTGTGATGTTTTATCCTTGCAGGCAGAACGAAGGGGACGTGCGCAAGATGAGAGAAAGAACAACAGCCTCGGGGGGGAATCTGCAAACTGACACACCAAGCACAGCAATTTAGAAACAGAACACTCTAATGTGACAGAAATACATGCAGCCTGGCAATCAACAGAAAAAAAAAATTGCATTCTGGGGGAAAAAAGAAGTAAGTTTTAAAGGAGCGCTGCCACACCCTGTGAACTTCACAATCAAGACTTAATGTTCTCTTGTTGAGCTCTCACACCCTCCACATTAACTCGTCCATCGGTCATGCAGCACTTTGCATTTGCCACCATAATTGCCTTAATTGTTTGAAGCCTAATGGATTTTTTCTTGGCGCCATTAGATTGACGTCATTTTATGAATGGTCTATACATTGAGACACAACAGGCAGGCTCCTATTTGCATATATAAGCAGTTTCAGGTATTTGACCAGAAATTGCTGCAATGCGGAATTGCCCAGCTTCTACCCTGTCGTCTACAAATCACAAAATAACCATTCTGAATGGTGAAGAAAACAGAATGAACTTTCAAACAGACTCTTTGTACTGAATCCAACCTCCAGGCTGTACGATAGACTTCACAGCATTAAATCAGTCCGGAGGTGTCCCATTATCTAAGCCATGGAGACATGGAGAAGACAAATGTGGGAGAAAGCACTTGCAGTTTGCTTTGGAAAACGTGATAGACCAAAAAAAAACATGGACATGTTATGGCCAGGCTAGGTTATAACTGCCTAAGGGCCTGGAACTTGTTTACTGTAAATGCATGGACGCTTTAAGTGATAAAGAACTATACACAACTGTTCTGAACACAAGGTCAAGTATGAATGGAGAGTATAATGCGAGCCTGTCGGAAATATTATGACCACTGCAAAGAACTCAAAAGATCTAAGACGAGATGCCTCTCATTTTTTTTTATTTTCATCATTTCGATCTTTGCATGCAGATCAAGTTCTGGTCATGAGGAATTTGCTAGAAGCGTACATGCAATTGCTGTTCATTTTTGTACAAGCATGTCTGGCACATCTGCTTGAGAGGATTAAGAGTTAACAGACCAGAAACAGATTGATGGTACTAAAAAACTCCAAAAAGTCTGAGAGCACACTAAAAATCTGGGAATCTAAATTAATTTACGACATTGTCAAACTTATCCCAGTTCACACGAATCCGCGAAAGGGACTAAAATGCTGTATTATTCTTCCAGGCCAGTAGCTGAAACCTGTTTTCAAAACTTTGCGTTTTCAGGCCCCCAAAACGTTGTTGTCATGTAAACGAACGGCCAAAAAGCATAAAAAGTTTTACGTTTTTAGTTGAAAACGGTGTTGTGTAAACAGCCCATTAAAGGGATAGTTCATCCCAAAATGAAAATTCTGTCAGTAATTACTAGCCCTCATGTTGTTCCAACCCCGTAAGACTTTCGTTCATCTTCGGAACACAAATTAAGATATTTTTGATTAAATCTGAGAGCTGGATCACTCTTCCATAGGCTTCTAAGGGATTGAAACTTGCCGGCCCCGAAAAGTTAAAGACATCGTTAAAATAGTCCAAGTGACTAGTGGCTCAATCTTAAGTTTAAAGGGATACTCCACTTTTTTTGGAAATAGGCTCATTTTACAACTCCCCCAGAGTTAAACTGTTGAGTTTTACCGTTTTTGAATCCATTCAGCCGATCTCCGGTTCTGGCGGTAGGCCTACCACTTTTAGCATAGCTTAGCATACATCATTGAAGTGGACAAGACCATTAGCATTTCTAAAAAAAAAAAAATGACCGAAGAGTTTAGATATTTTTCCTATTTAAAAATAGGAAAGAGTCATTCCTTGACTCTTCTGTAGTTACATCGTGCACTAAGACCGACGGAAAATGTAAAGTTGCGATTTTCTAGGCTGATATGGCTAGGAACTATACTCTCATTCCTGCGTAATAATCAAGAAACTTCACTGCCGTACCATGAGTGCAGCAGGCGTAATGATATGACGCAGCGCCTGAAAATAGGCCACCTTCCGTCAACACAACGGAACTATTTTCAGGCGCTGCGTCATATCATTACGCCTGCTGCTCTCATGGTACGGCAGTAAAGTTTCTTGATTATTACGCAGGAATGAGAGTATATAGTTCCTAGCCATATCAGCCTAGAAAATCGCAACTTTACATTTTCCGTCGGTCTTAGTGCACGATGTAACTACAGAAGAGTCAAGTTTTAAATAGGAAAAATATCGAAACTCTTTGGTCTTTTTTTTTTTTAGAAATGCTAATGGTCTAGTCCACTTCAATGATGTATGCTAAGCTATGCTAAAAGTGGTACCGCCAGAACCGGAAAACGGCTGAATGGATTCAAAAACGGTAAAACTCAACAGTTTAACTCTGGGGGAGTTGTAAAATGAGCCTATTTCCAAAAAAAGTGGAGTATCCCTTTAACTGTAGCCACTTGGACAATTTTAACGATGTCTTTAATAACTTTTCTGGGCCGGCCAGTTTCAATCCCTTAGAAGCTTATGGAGGAGTGATCCAGCTCTCAGATTTAATCAAAAATATCTTAATTTGTGTTCCGAAGATGAACGAAAGTCTTACAGGGTTGGAACAAAATGAGGGTGAGTAATTACTGACATAATTTTCATATTGGGGTGAACTAACCCTTTAAACTCACCAACAGCAGTAACAAAGCTAGACAAAGGAACAATGAAACATGAGGGCTATTTATACACAAAGACTAATGAGCAACAAGAAACACCTGTACTGAAACAATGAACCAATTAAAAAGTGACACAAGGAACAAAGAACCAATGAAAACAAAACACTTGATGGGGTCAGGGAAATCACATGACAAACCAGGAACATGACTGATAATATTATACAAAATAAAAGACATGAAAACACGTACACCAAATGTGACAATGTATGTAAGGGATTTTTTTTTTTTTTTTTCGGAAGCCAATTGTATAAAGACAAACATAAATGTACGGCTGCCCCCGACTAAAGATTTTCCCAGTCGACTAGTAGTCGTTAATTTAAGCGAATAGTCGGCTAACAGCACATTTTTGCGACACGCTTCATCAAAGAAGTTCACGGAGACCGAGACGAAGAAAACGCATCCTGTTTGTTTTCTTTATTTTACAAAAGCAAAAGTTTGGTTAATGGTTGTTGAGTGAAAGTTTCGAATTATGTATTACTCTTATATCTATGACCAAAAATGACGCCGTATTTTAAGTTATTTTGCACTTGAACACTTGGACATGCGCCAAATAATAGCGCACATTTATCTAGGTTAACATTAGTGCGAGTGGCCATGTAAAGAGGCTAACGTTAGGCTACTTGCATATTTTTTTTAAATGATAAGCCATATTTGAGGTCGATGAATGATAGACGAACATTTGGATTTCCTGCTCAACACATGGACATGTGTTAATGATCAGTCCGTCACGGACTGCGTGACTTCGACTTTTTCTACAACTAAACGACTAGTTCAAATTTGATCGACTAGGCTAAGCCTCTTTTATTTGATTAATGTTTAGTCATCTATTAGGGGCAGCCCTTCATAAATCATTCAGAAGTGGTTGGTATAATTAAAGGTTTGACAAGTTAAACTATTAGATTTCACTTGGCAAACATGTACAGACACACGCACATATCCACAAGTTTGCAGAAGGTGCTGAGTGCACATTCATCCATACAGTAAAAACCAGGAATATCTGCTGGTCTCAGTGGACTCCCAATATCAGCCTTCTGCAAACAAGTGGAAATACAGTCAGTCCGATTACATTTGTACTTCTGCGTCATGCCGTCATCTCATGCTGATATTGAACCTCTTCTCATTCAAAACTTGTTCAGTCCTTGTTAAATCGGAATGTCGATGTATTGCTGTAGTTGTTGCATAACTTTATTGCTGTTAATGACAAACCTGTTTATGTATTGACACTGATCCAATAACAGCAAAAGCTGATCATTTAAGTGGAAACGCAAATGATTTTGTTTAAATTTCCTTGCAGCATTCTGTCAATGCCTGTGGCTGACAAGTATGCCCTAAGGTCTCATGTTGCAAATTCCTTTTTATATTTACATACTTCCAAAGTATCAAAGGTTTAAAGTATCAGAATGGTGCTACAAAAAATGCAAATCAAAATTGCCACGGTTATACTCTAGAAATCGAATTTTCTGTACTATAATACTCCAATATTTTCAAGAAGAATCAATCACAAAGATTTGGAACATCATTAAGGTGAGCTATTTTTTAGTGAACTATATCATTCTGAATCATTCTATGAAATTCCACAAGCTGTACTTCACTGAATAGTACCTCGAACCATACAAATGCAAGCAAATGCGTGTAAAAAACAAAACAAAACAAAAAACAGATTTGTTCATTGAAAGATTGGCACATGTTTTGGCCACTTGCCTTTAACAGAGACCTGAAAAATCTCCACATATGTGACATATTAATATATAAATAGAGACATATTTTCCTTGCATGTGAATTTGTATTGACATAAAGATGAGTGCTAGATTTCACACACATATGCATCTTATTCTGAAAGGCTGCATGCCATGCCTCATCGAAGGCATAGAAAGATGCTCAAATACAAAAATCCATATACAGTATGTGAGATTATCAACAATCTCATTTATCCTTTTGATCCAGGGGAAATGAATGACCTCATCTTGCCCCCAAGAGCCACTGTGAATCATTTGTGCCAAGGACAAATATCACAGAACAGAACTCAGTGAGTCAGCAAAGCACATAAACTTAGATAATACTAGTCAGAATGGGTCGAATTTCTAAGTTGAAATTAGTCATCTTAGACTGTAATCTTTTAATGTGAAATTATGCACAAATGTTGGTTCTCTGGACAACAACCTGTAGAATTTGCTAAGGAAATCTGCTTTTGATATTCAGATTGTTTTAAATGTTGTTGACGTATAGGCTACACAGTCCAAAACCTTTAAGCAAATATATCATAAAGTATTGCACTGTCAAACAAGTTTGTTTGAAATGGTTTGCATGGGCATAAAGAGAGATAAACCAGTGAGTCAGCATGTGATATTTCCCACACAGAGGGTGGAAGTTAGACGGCATCTGATATGATACAGTATCACCAAACCATATCAGAACAGAAGCTCGGTCATGAAGTTTTAAGTGCTTAGTAGTTGGTGCACTTAAAATCACAGACATATAATCACTGAGTATAGCCTAAATATACATAAACAACACAACAGTAAACACATGTTATGAATATAATTACATGGGGAACTTGCTGTCCTACTGCTAACACTTATTGGTTATGGAACGCAGAGCAGCCCCACACATTTTTGTGTGACATTAAAAATGTAATGTTGTCATGTTGAGTGTTATAAAACCTTTTTCCCAGAAATAATTCGATACCTAAGTCACAGCGTTTAAATAAACTATTACAACCGAACCCGCTACTCTCGCGGCTGGAAAAGCAACAGTCTTCGGAATTTCCCAATTGATTGAGAAAGTATAACATTTAATAAAATTCTTTAAAATCTCGATATTTAATAGTTTACTATAGCCTACCGTTCAACAATACACAAATATTTTCATATTCGCCTTACCTTGCCGAAGACTGTCAGACTGTCCGCTCTACACTCAGCGTGTTGTATTATGTGTTCTCACATGAGAACGCTGTGTTTTCCTGTGTGTGTGTGTGTGTGTGTGTGTGTGTGTGTGTGTGTGTGAGTGAGATCACCAGAGGACCAGCCCTGATACCGTCACTGTACAGCGCTCCCTACAGGACGACTCACACAACAACAAATGTATCAAAGGAAGACCTTTTTTTCTAGAAATAAATAAGTAAACGGTCGTAAACAAATATATGATTTGTACTTTTGAAATATGTTTAAATCATGTACATTAATGTGAGGTCAGCAGTCATATGAACAGACTAATAAAGACTATTGTTCTTCACACAAATATAAAAAGCTTGTGTCCGCCACAGAATCAATAAAAAAGAATAAAAAAGAAATGGCAATTGCGAGTTTTTATCTAGCAAATTGCAATAAAATCTCAATTTATATATATATATATATATATATCAATTTGAACTTTATAGCAATTGCGAATTTACAGTGAAAAAGTAAAATTATATGGTTTTATACCATATATATAAAAACACAATAAAAAAAATCAATAAAAAAATTTATCTGGTCGGTAGAAGGTCACATCAGATTAACAAAAACACATTATATATTACACTGTGAGTGTCATTTATTTAACAAAATAAATCCAAAAGAGAACCTAATGGTGACATTCAGTTGCTTGTGCCACTTTTAGCAGCGATAACTTATGTAATCATTTCTGAATGACTTTATCAGTCTTCACATTGTTCTGGAGGGATTTTGGCCTGCTCTTCTTTACAACATTGCTTCAGTTTCTTGAGGTTTGTGGGCTTATGCATGGCTCTCTTAAGGTCCCGCCACAGAATTTCAATCGTTCTGGACTTTGACTGGGCCACTGCAACACCTTGATTCTTTTCTTTTTCTGGTGTAGATTTGCTGGTGTTCTTGGGATCATTGTCTTTTGCATGACCCAAATTTGGCCAAGCTTTAGCTGTCGGACAGATGGCTTCACATTAGTTTGGATTTTCCAAATGTGGCGCAGTGCATTATGATCAAACATCTCTATTTTGGTCTTGTCTGTCCAAAGGACATTTTTCCAGAAGTCTTGTGGTTTGTTCAGATGCAACTTTGCAAGCCTAAGAAGCTGTGCTGCCATGTTCTTTTTAGAGAGAAGAAGCTTTCTCCTATGGCAACCCTTCCAAACATGCCATACTTGACCCATCTTTTTCTAATTGTACTGCCATGAACTTTTAACATTTAACATGGTAACTGAGGCCTGTATGACATGTAGCTCTTGGTTTTTTGCATGGCACAGTCTGACATTTGGGTGAATTTGCTGGGACGTCCACTCCTGGGAAGACTGGCAACTGTCTTGAATGTTTTACACTTGGGAATAATCTTCCTCACTGTAGAATAATGGTCTTCAAATTGTTTGGACATGGCCTTGTAACTCTTCCCAGATTGATGGGCAGCAACAATTGCTTCTCTAAGATCATGCTGTCTTTCCTCCTTGGCATTGTGTTAACACACGCCTGAATGCTCCAGACCCGCAAACTGCAAAATCTTCAGTGTTTGTTTGATTAGCAGTGCCTGACTGCTTTTAGAAGCAATAAGGGTGTACTTAGTTTTTCACACATGGCTTCTCTATTTTGTCCTAGTTTTTTGTCAAATTAATAATGCTCGCAATGAGATTGGATGTGTCCAAAATCACATACTCTATAGGCCCACTTATTTTGAATACGCACTTACTTTGCCACTTCTAATGATGTGTCTGAATGTAATCCGGACATATACTACATTGGCCATGCTGTCATCATAACCATGTGACCTTATTGGCGTCAGTTGTGTTGCTTCAATGCCCTTCACAAATCCTCTCCCGTTGCCTCATGGGATAAAGTGTCCATGCACACTTCTGAATCTCATCGGAAGTAGTAGGTCATCCGGGTAATATTTATAAGTAGCCTACTGTAAATTCAGACACATTTTTTCTTCACCATACAATACAGGGAAGTATGCATTTTCAGACGCAGCCATTGCAATGCTGCCTAAAAAAGGTGCTACATTAGAAGGCATAATTGAGGCAATTCTGAGCGATAGAGGAGAAAGCAAGGTAATATGCAAGAGGGATTTTGAAAGTTTAACTTCTTAACTTACCACAGCATCTTAAAAATGTGGCGCTCATGAGTGAAAATGCTGAAAAGCAGCATGTGTTTACCTCTGACGCTTGTTTACAGAAAAACAATTGAAGAGCACCGTGGAATGCAAAAACGAGTTCTACATGAACCCAGCGAGTGCCTTAAAATGCTATCTAGTTCAGCAGGTTATAGTTATTATTATTGTCCTGTGACTGGATCTAGTGCAAACATTAAATGTTAATGCAGTGTCATTGACCCTTGTAGAGTGTGGTATTGTTTCTAATGTGAAATGACTCCCCTTGCTAGGAGCGTGTCTGTAAGTTTGAGTGTTCAAATGAAGCAGAAACAATACTTTACATATAATGTACACATTATGATCGTGTTTTAACGTTTTCTTGGCATTTGGGCAAACACAGCACCACAACAAAAACATGACTTGACTGCTTTAACCTAAAATCAATATCATGGCAGAATATTTTCATGCTGCAGTGGTTTTAAAAGAACAGTGTCAGTTATATAACAGCGATGAGCTGAGTGAAGGGTCTTTGCTTTAATAAGAAAGTGTACACTGTGAAAGCCAGATGTCTGCAAAATAAACAATGTTACTGTAAGAGAGTACACAATACACTGTGTGTGGTTGGCATATTTCTGCTGAAGTGGTAGATAAAAAAAATGTAATTAAAAAAAATGTGTGAGCCTTTGGAAACACGCAAATATTTTTTCTTTTTGGAAATGTTTAAGTTTTTAATAAATTAAAACATCAGCAAGGAAATGACAGTAAAGGCATTTGTTACAACATATTTTGAACGTTCAATTTATAAAAGTATCCTGAAAAAAGTCAGTTTCCACAAACAACATTTAGTAGCATAACAGTTTTTAACACTGATAATATGACATAAGACAGACGTATTATTTATGAAGGATCTTGTGACTGAAGACTGGAGTAAAAAGTTCAGCTTTTCCCTCACAGGAATAACTTAAATTTTTAAATATATTAAAATAAAAAACAATTAGTTTAAATTGTATTTAAGAATATTACTGTTTTACCTGTTCAAATAAATGCATCCTTGATGTATTCTAAAAACATTTTTAAAAAAAATCTTACCACCACAAACTTTCGAACAGTAGTGTAATATTATTATTAGATTTCACAACACATTAGTACAATTAATTGTGTGCAAAACTTTCACTGTTGTTAGTTTTATTCAACCCTATGTGTAATCAAGTGAACTTGTCTGAACGGAGTTCATTGAATTAAATGAGATGTCTTTGTCATCGTTACTTGACACCGGTGGTGAGTGTAACACACAAATTGATAAATACCATAGGATGTGCCTTTCTTCACAACACAGAGGTGTTGTTAGTGAAAACAGCAGGGGTGCTCATCCTGTGGTAGGTCCGGGTCCTAACGCCCCATATAGCGGTGATAAGCTGTATAAAAAGGCACTTCTGTTGTTAATATAAACCTCACAGTCTTTCTCAGAAAGACTCAGGGTGTACGGTGTAACCCTGCAAAATAATCCCTGGCTATCACCACTGATAGTTAATACAATAATAAATCTCACAAGCAATTAAAGAAATGGCAAGTAACATATTGACTTAAACATAAAATTTTGATTTGATAAAACACATAATCTTTGTTTAATTTATAACTTAGAACATCTATCAGTGAGGTTTCCAGTGACTCCAGTTGTCCTCCTTCTATAGCAACAAAAGTTGCATAATCTTAATAATTTACATAATACATGCATCTTGTCTCCACAAGCACAATAAAATCAGTTCACACATGAAACACTTGAGTAATCAAGCTCAGCTGACATGTAACTTAGCCATTTCAGTAAAATTATCAAAGTTGCATTTAGTAACAATGTTGTTTTCAGCTAATAATTCAATTTAAAAGAATGAAAACTAACTTACCGTATAAGAGGTCCTCTGTTATTGCTGCAGTTGGTAGAATTGGAAAACGTCTGAATTAAACCGTGTTCAGTTCATTTTTGGCAGTTTAGTTGTGGACTGTGGTTCCACAGGTTTTCTTTATCTAGTATTAACAGTAATTAATGGTTCATCGCCAATAGCTACTGGCAAGGAATGTAGGTCACTGACAAGGAATTTTGTTTGCATAATAATTTGCATACTTTGGAAGAGTAGGCTAATAGGCCTATTACAAAAGCATTTTACAATACATTTCACATGAATGAATATCTGTGTATTTAAACGTTGTTTTGTCTTATTTACTTACAGTAATTCTGTTAAAAAAAACTATACTAGGCATAACACTCTAAATTGCACTCAAAAGTATTTTAACAAACCAAGTAATATTTTTATATATATATAAAAAAACAAATAAAGTTTTTTTTTAATGTTTTATATGTCAAAGTAGTTAAAAGGTCTAGATAGCTTATGTTTGCAGAAATCACTTTGCTTTATATTTGCCTTAGTTTTTAATGTCAGCAGAGAATCAGCTGATAGGCTACAGCGCAATTTCCTATTTTGTTTTCAGAAAAAAATCACGTGATCAATGACAAACGATCCGATGCCTGAATTTCTGTTGAATCCCTTGACTTTGCGTGTCAGCACGGTCTGGTTAGTTGAATTTTGAACTCTGTGCCTACTCTGGATTTTCTAACCAATAGATTATATTTAATTTGTCCATAAATAGATTTGTTTCTACTTTTTGGCAAAAAAAATTAATGTTGATGTGGTTTAACTTAGTATCTTACCCAACACACACACACACACACACACACACACACACACACGTTAGGAATTACATCTTCTACAATGAAAATATTCCTCCGTTACACAGTTGATAAAAAGCATTATATTTCCAGTTTTATGAGCCAGCAGATGACGCTGTTGTCGAGCCTCTGAATCTGAGAATCTTAACTCGGAACAATCAGGTGGAATCATCAGAGCTTA